AGCTCTGTTCCTTTCACCTGAAGAAGGCCACTTGTGTTGTGGCCGAAACGTCGTGAGAATTTTATTGTGTTATTTTATTTTATTAATTTATTATTTTATTCTCATTCTACGTGACTTTACCGAAAGAACCAAAGAAGATCATCAGCATCGTTCAGCAGTTCACCAGCATTGAATGACGCGAGGCTTGACTGCTGATGAGACGTCGTATTTCAAAACCGATCCAGAGTTTGCTCGTCTTGAATCAGCGCCGCTAAAATTACGCATTCCCAGAACGCCGTGCGGCTCATGTATGTGGAGAATCAGAAACGTGAAGGAGATATATCGTCTGATTGTTATATATTTGTGATTTACATTCTCCAAAGCGACGCAATTTATGAATTTAAATGTAACCAAATGCAACTGTCTTCTTTGGTTCTTTCGGTAAAGTCACGTAGAATGAGAATAAAATAATACATTGATAAAATAAAATAACACAATAATATTCTCACGACGTTTCGGCCACAACACAAGCGGCCTTCATCAGGTGAAGGGGACGAGACTGTCTGGAGGACAGCGCTCCAGAAGATGAATCCTTGCAGTCACGAAAGCTTTAAATAGAAATCAAATGCAACTGCTTTTGACGATTCAATAAAAGAGCGTGACCTTTCTACTAAATTAATTCCGGACTGTTATTGAATATGACGGCACAACGCCGAGGCCTGCTCACCGCGACGAGAGGGCTGCAGCAGAGAGTGAGAGTTCCTGCAGGATCGCTCTTCCTCCTCCTCCGGTGAAGAACATACAGGCAAAAACGACGATTCAAATACATGTTACACCAGTGACGAGTCCCTGGAACCCGACGCGCCCAGCTGAGGCTGCTTTTTTCTGTTTTGAGTAAGCGCGCGCACACACGCGCCCGTGTACACACAGGTGTTGAAGAGTCCACACACGGCTACGCGTGCAGGAGACACGGAGGCGCCTTGCCCGTCGACGATCATCTTCGGACCACAGTCCCTGGGCAATGATTGACAGGCAAGGAGGGGAGACCGAGGGATGTAAGGGGAGGGAGGGAGCAGGAGGGACAGTTCAGAGTGCGGAGTTTGCTGAAGCGTGTGTTACCTGCTCTGTGAGCGGTTTGCGTTACTTGTGGATCGTCAATAAAGAAACGTTTGCTGAACACCGCCTGAACTACAAAACTAAACTTGTTTTTTATTTTGCCAGGTAAGGCTCACTGAACTATCTAGCTCGTTTGCAGACGCGACCTGGCCACGAATGATAGCTCAACGAAGTGGCTCATCATATGGACATTTATAGCGGCCAAATACTCCAAGGGAATGTTTATTCTAAATGTGAAGGGGAAAAACTACTCTTAATCGCGTGTTTCTAAATGTGGAGGGAAAAACTGGAGGACCCAGAGAAAAATCCATGCGACCACGGGGAGAACACGCAAACTCCAAATACACAGCAGCAGGCGTCAGGGTCGGGAATGATCCCACGACCTCCTGCATACCAGGCGAGGGAGTTAACATCTCCTAGCCACCGTGGCGCCCAGCACCTCGCTGATCTCGTCAAGGAGCATAACCCATCATCGTGCGAACTCCGCTCATCCTCGCAGCAGGGGCTATTGGCTGACCATCGAACAAAGGTGGTCACCGCATCGCGCGGTTTAAGATGCACTTTTGCGGCCGTCTGGAACACTCTTCCTTCCGATATTAGGAAGCCACTGAGCACTTTTAAATTGAAAACTAATTTATTTAGAACTGCTTTTGTGTTTAGTTTACTGCCCTTGCCCCGCACCTCCGATTAGCACTATTGGTTATGTACGGTGCAAAATAAGTTCAACATACATACATGCCGTTTACGGCACAGGAGTTCGCACTTTTTCTTGCCAATGACACCCTATATGAGTCTAAGTGGCCTTTATGTGAGTATGGGTCTCTATATGAGTCTAAGTGCCCTCTATGTGAGTATGGGTCTCTATATGAGTCTAAGTGCCCTCTATGTGAGTATGGGTCTCTATATTAGTCTAAGTGGCCTCTATGTGAGTATGGGTCTCTACATGATTCTAAGTGCCCTCTATGTGAGTATGGGTCTCTATATGAGTCTAAGTGCCCTCTATGTGAGTATGGGTCTCTATATGAGTCTAAGTGCCCTCTATGTGAGTATGGGTATCTATATGAGTCTAAGTGCCCTCTATGTGAGTATGGGTCTCTATATGAGTCTAAGTGGCCTCTATGTGAATATGGGTCTCTATATGAGTCTAAGTGCCCTCTATGTGAGTATGGGTCTCTATATGAGTCTAAGTGGCCTCTATGTGAGTATGGGTCTCTACATTAGTCTAAGTGCCCTCTATGTGAGTATGGGTCTCTATATGAGTCTAAGTGCCCTCTATGTGAGTATGGGTATCTATATGAGTCTAAGTGCCCTCTATGTGAGTATGGGTCTCTATATTAGTCTTAGTGCCCTCTATGTGAGTATGGGTCTGTACATTAGTCTAAGTGCCCTCTATGTGAGTATGGGTCTCTATATGAGTCTAAGTGCCCTCTATGTGAGTATGGGTATCTATATGAGTCTAAGTGCCCTCTATGTGAGTATGGGTATCTATATGAGTGTCTGGGTCCTGATTGTGGAGGGTTGCAGCTCGGGTTTCCAACTCCGACTGAAGCTATCCCGGGAGATATTTTTTTATTTTTTATCCTACACGTATTATTATTATTATTATCACCTCCCAAAATGCTTTCAATCGTCACCGGCGGGAGACCGATGCCAATTCCACTTAAAGACAGAGACACCCTGGCCCGGCCAGACCTGAAGTTGGCAACTCAAGGAGTCGCAGAACCCCAAGAGGCGACCACTAGAGGGCAGCGTGGGGTCACGCGAGCCACCGCGCGCACCGCAAGCGTTGAGTGTGACCCCACACACGCACCCACACGTGGCCAGAATGTGAGAATCAATCGGGTGCAGTATAATGTAACGCAATGCTGTGCCATAAAAACAGTGAATCAACAAAATTATAATTCCTTTCATCTTATGTAGCGGCATGCATGCGAATAGCATCACGTAACTCGGTACATTAATTATATAAATAAGGGTCGAAGCGCATATGCAGCCACGACCAAGAAAATGAAAACTCCCAAACTACTGAGCAAAATAAAAAAGAATAAACAAATTAAGAAATAGAACCTAAACAAAGAAAGCAACAAACAACGACTGTATGCTGAACTTCTTTGGCGCCGTACGTAAGCCAATTGCACGAATTGGAGGCGCGGGGGAAGGACAAACAAACTAAACACAAAAATGAGTTCGAAAGAAACGCGTGGGACTGATTGGTTGCACCGCTGGGATGGGGGAGTGCAGGGGGATAAAATCTGAAGGTGTTTTGATATAAAGCGAGTGCAGAAGTATCAAGTAAAGCAATGAAGGGCAACCATCCATCACGGTGCAAACACTTCACGGATAGCAAGTATAAATTTTGATTTAAAGCTTTCGTGACTGCAGGGATTCATATTCTTGGTAGGTTTGCAAGAACATATTTCTATCGCAAAAGCCAACAATACAAAAATATGTAAGGTATGTCAGCAATGTTCCATTGGCTCCCACTGGAATTGTATGGGCCTTGATTTGTGGCTAGTTTAAGGTACATTAGCCGTGGGCTTTTACGTAAGGCTTATTTAAGTACCCTGCATTTTGGGTGAGATATTTAATATTTGTATCAATGTCGTCCTGTAATTATGAACATCAACAATCTTCTGAGAATACTCCATCTCTATCTCTCCCCATGACTCGTGTCCTTTCTTAAAGGCGTCAGCTATCACAGCCATCCTTCCATTCAGCTCTGTCCCTGATATTACTCAAGAACTTGTGAATCTATGGGCAATGTTAGTCTACGTGCATTGTTAGTTCAGGTACAATTTTAGTATATGATGCTAGTCTATGAGCAATGTTAGGCGATGGGCAGTTTAGTCTGAGTAATTTTAGTCTGGCTCTGCCCTGACCGCGCCTCCCTTCTCGAACCCGCCAGCAGGTTCCAGGGGCCTCCAGCAGACGGGGTCCTCCGTGACCCTTGCCCCAGTTCCTCCGCTCTGCCCACACGCCGGCGTTGTGTGCTTTGTCCACCACAGCTGCCGTCACTGTCCACCAGCCGGCGCTATTACACTACATGTGTAGCAATGTGCTCATTTAATGTCATGAATAGATTTATTAAACAGACAATTCAGAAGGGTGCATACAAAATAATAATGACGGGTCTGAGTGTGTATACATCTGAAATGCGCGCTTCAGGCCTGCCCTGCAATGCGGCGGTGCTTCGTATGACGATTATAATGTCCGTTTAACACACATTTTACTATCGTACCAAAGACAAAGACCCCCCCCCCCCCCCCCGTATACGCTTAGCAGACTGTTGGGGCAAGTGCTGTTAGCGAGCACCTATTAAGGCCGGAACGGCACACGAGGAGGTGGGTGGCTGGCACCACGGCCGACCGCCTTTGTCTGCCTAGCGGCGATGTTTGCACAACACACCAGCTACTCATTTGAGGCTGAGTCGACCTACCGCAACTTCGTGCACTCACACCGCGTGTTTTTTTTTCTTTCATATTTAAAACATTTAAAACAAAGAGGAATACAAAAAACCCCGAATAAAACAAGTCTCGGATCGACTCATTAAAACTGCTTGCGGGGAGGTCACAGACCACGACTCCTCGTGTGGAGCCACGCGGCTCGGACTCGCGATCTTTGAGGCGCATACGCCGAGAACTTCCCTTCGAACGAAGGAAGCTGCCCTCGGCCACAGAAGTCACAACTCTACGTGATCACACGGGGGTGGGAGGGTGGGTGGCACAGGATACCCAGCGCTGTGATGGGATGATTCAAAACGAATTCGCTTCGGTTGGGTGGTGGGGGCTGGAAGGTGCAGGATGTTTGTTGTTGTGACATTTTGTTGTTGTGGGTGTTGTGCCCGGGGCACAGGGGGGTGGGGTGGGAGTGAGTTGGTGCGGGAGGGGTGGGAGAGGTGCGATGAGAACAGCTGTTGCCTGCCCTGCTCGCCTCCCACCCAGTGCGCGTAGCTCCACCCCTGCTTCTCATTGCTGATGAGCGGCGGGTGAGTGAGGACTGCGTGTTGGTAGCACTCGTGTGTGGGAGGGAGGGCTCTTCCCGTGGTCGGCTTCTTGTGTGGCGAGACAGTCTTGAGTTTGAAATATCAGGCCATCAAAGCCATCAATTATTCCAGTTATCCACCCACCCATACACTCAGCCATTTATCCATCATTCATCCACCCACTGACACACACGCCAACTCACCCACCCACCCACGTGCTCTATCAGGCGAACATTCCGTCGAGTTAAGCGAGAATCATCATCGGCAGGCAAAGCGTGGAGCGGAGTCTGAAGGAGATGGATCGCCACTCAGGACAAGGACGTTCCGGATTGGCGCCTTTCGTGTACGCAGTCTCCCGTTTCGATTAAAAGCCAAGGAGGTGTCCGTGCGGTGAGTTCGCATGTAAACTCCACTCGAACTTTCTGCTGTAATCCTGTTTCTTGCCTGCAGTGATTTCTCAACAAATGTTTCTGCCTGGGCGATTATGTTTGTACCTTACCCAGCCATGTATTTATAAGGTATTGGGAAAACACGTCAATATAATACGTACTGTATGTATTCATAATCAGGTACCATAACAAGTGTTGTTACATATTATGAAATGACATGAGCAGTATATTAAGCATATGACAATGTGATGTAATCGCTGCATACTTCTGCGTCTGTGTTATTGTACAACTAAATTAAGGGCTTGTATTGACCATTGGGTGTGTACGCATGGATAACATCAACTCTACCACATCCGTGATTAAAACTCCTTTGTAACAGGCAAATATAGTGGATCGACGGTTCAGGCAACGGCCCTTCTTGAGAGCAAAACGAGATGGGATTGACTGCCTTGTAATTTGGGATTGCGCTTCGCACTCCAGGGCAGTCAGACAAAGCGAGACGTGTTTTGTTCACGGCTGTTGTCGCCGGTTGGAGTCGGACTGCGCCCGTCCCTCCCCGCTGGGCGCGTTGGCGGCGTGCGTCCCGCGTGTCGACGCTGCTGTTGTGCCATTTGACGATGATGGTGGGAATCCACGACGTCTCGCTCCCACGTCGCTGGCTTGGGAGCGTCATTCAATTCAAACAATTGTGAAAAGTCAATAAATTCGCTCTCCCCAACAAGCTGCCAAGCGGGTGGTAGCGAAACTTCGGACCATCGTGCCGATGAACACGCGGTAGAACCCGACTTGCCTGGTCACCTCTCGCACTCCCTCTTTCGCGCGGAGTGTGAGCCCCTCTATCCCTTCTCGTGTCCCTCTGTCCCCCGAGTCCCGTATTCACGCCGTGGGTGGTGGCCTTCTTCTGTCCCGTACGGCGGCGGCGTCGGTGATGTGGTTCAAGGAGCTCGATGCCAATGTCGAGGTCTGCTGCTGCTGGCCACGACGAGAGGGTTTCAGCAGTGAGAGTTCGTGTTGGAGTGTTGTTGCTGCACCGTGGTTTGTTAGACCAGAAGAATTCCGGTAGCCTATGGGCCGACTTTATCGAGCGCATGCGGAGGGCTTCTGGTCGCCCCCACTGATGTCATCTTACCCCCAATGTTGTCAGATACGACTGGGTTGTACCTTAAAGTTCATTGGATGCAAAGAAAAATGTCAAAAAAACTATTCCGTGAGGTGTTTTAATCGCTAGCACCGATGCGCAGGACTATTTAATAAGAGCAACTTATGTTTACGTTTATTACCAGCCCTGACCAAACCGACGAGTCAGACTGAGACATGTCTGAACAGTGGGGGGGGGGGGGGGGTAGACGGATGTAGGCATATAGAGTATATATGCCTATATATATGCCTACAAAAGAAATGTATTTTTTGGGGGGAGTAACATTTTTCGGGGATGGTTCACAAGTTGTAAACTCGTTGTGTGGGGGGGGGGGGGTCCACTTTATATAACTTTTTAATTAAAAAATTCTGATAGACTCTTATCACCACGCTCTGCGTGCAGTGTCGACCCATAGAGGATAGGGTGCGAGAGTGCCGGCCATGGGAATGGGGTTACTAAGGGCCATGGCACTCTGGTTGACCCTGAAGGACACGTGACCGGTAAAGTCTACACAGGGCCCTCAGGTGGGGGCTAGGGATGGTCACGTGTCTGGGCCGAGATCCTGCTCGAGGGTTCTCGAAGGTGGTCGTGGAAGATAAAAGCCGGGTCCCCGAGAGGGACCGGCTGCTGTGGTTATCCTGAAGAATCTACGTTCTACGTCCGAGAAGAGTCACCAACACGTGGACCTGGACCCAAGCTGGGGTCCTGTCCGTTGTAGCTACTCCCAGCAGTGTAATTAGTGGCGTTTGCCTGATGGTCCACCACCATAGTGTGTAGTTAGCCTGGTGGTCCACCCCCACAGTGTGGAGTTAGCCTGGTGGTCCACCACCATAGTGTGTAGTTTGCCTGGTGGTCCACCACTATAGTGTGTAGTTTGCCTGGTGGTCCACCACTATAGTGTGTAGTTAGCCTGGTGGTCCACCACCATAGTGTGTAGCTTGCCTGGTGGTCCACCACCATAGTGTGTAGTTTGCCTGGTGGTCCACCACTATAGTGTGTAGTTAACCTGGTGGTCCACCACCATTAGGTGTAGTGTAGCCTGGTGGTCCACCACCATAGTGTGTAGTGTAGCCTGGTGGTCCACCACCATAGTGTGTAGTGTAGCCTGGTGGTCCACCACCATAGTGTGTAGTTAGCCTGGTGGTCCACCACCATTGGGTGTAGTGTAGCCTGGTGGTCCACCATCATAGTGTGTAGTGTAGCCTGGTGGTCCACCACCATAGTGTGTAGTGTAGCCTGGTGGTCCACCACCATAGTGTGTAGTTAGCCTGGTGGTCCACCACCATAGTGTGTAGTGTAGCCTGGTGGTCCACCACCATAGTGTGTAGTGTAGCCTGGTGGTCCACCACCATTGGGTGTAGTGTAGCCTGGTGGTCCACCACCATAGTGTGTAGTGTAGCCTGGTGGTCCACCACCATAGTGTGTAGCGTAGTCTGGTGGTCCACCACCATTGGGTGTAGTGTAGCCTGGTGGTCCACCACCATAGTGTGTAGTTAGCCTGGTGGTCCACCACTATGGTGTGTAGTTAGCCTGGTGGTCCACCACCATAGTGTGTAGTGTAGTCTGGTGGTCCCACCTTAGTGTGTAGTTAGCCTGGTGGTCCACCACCATTGGGTGTAGTGTAGCCTGGTGGTCCACCACCATAATGTGTAGTGTAGCCTGGTGGTCCACCACCATAGTGTGTAGTGTAGCCTGGTGATCCACCACCATAGTGTGTAGTGTAGTCTGGTGGTCCACCACCATTGGGTGTAGTGTAGCCTGGACGTCCACCACCATAGTGTGTAGTGTAGCCTGGTGGTCCACCACTATAGTGTGTAGTGTAGCCTGGTGGTCCACCACCATAGTGTGTGGTGTATCCTGGTGGTCCACCACCATAGGTTGTTATCTGGTAAAGGGGCAGTTACCCCTTTGTGTTGGTATCAATAAATGTGTTGCCTCCAAAGAGTATGTCTGCGACTAAGTTGAACTCACTACAGTAGTATGGTCGATAGTTTGGGTAGCATGGCCACCCACAATCGCACAAATGTGTGGCTGGTCTCTTATGTTTCTTTATGGTCTCTATATCGGTAAGTCTCTATGCATCTCCACGAGTCCCTGTGGGTTTATTATATGGTCCGTAGTTCGGGTTGCGTGGCCGCAATTCCTCGACCGCGTGGCTTGCGCGTCTTTAGTTTCCCATTTGCGAAGGAGATGTGCGCATCGGGCCTGTTGCTGATCTTCCGATGCGGTTGGTGGTTTCACCACCGGTGTGTCTTCGAGGAGGAGGGAGGAGGAAAGGAAGGTGGCTTTGCAAGGCATTGGTCGGCACGGCTTGATGTCTGTATGCTTAGCCAACCGTGCTCGTCGGAGGTTCTGAGTTGCCTTTCTGTGCAGCCACAAACTATCCCGCGTAAAAAAGTCGTCTCGATAACGTCTCGCGACACGAGTGATTGTCTTCTGCTTCTCCACCATTATCGCCATGAACATCAGCTATGTTCTATCCACTGCTATGTAACCTCTTATTTACACAGAGGCCTTCATCGAGTAGTGGATAGATCATGCCCGATGATGATGGCATATCAGTCATTCTAAATTCCAAAAAGGGACTGCTCATTTATATAAATCCCCGTGCCTTGTATTTACGTGACAGTGTTATGGTGGGTTGCCTGGATAACATTTATTTCGAAGCATCGCTGTTTTTTTGTATTACAGTACCCTCCTCGTGAAAGCTTCTGGCAAATCACGTGTTGGGACTCGGCTGATGAGACCCAGAAGTTTGAAACCCGTCTAGAGTCTGCTGCCACCCTGAAAACAAACTGCTTGTTAACATGTGTGCTAGGCCAAGCAGCCCATAGACTAAACAGTATTTTATTTTTTATGTGGAGAGAGAGCAGAAGTTTAATTTTCTTAACTTATCTTGTTTCCCACAATGCTCTACTACAGCGCTCAGTAAGTACTGTAGTTATAAATTATGGGCCATCATGTGAATTATAGTCCTCTGCTCTTCTGCTTCATCTCTGCCCATGACCGTGTCCATTTGCCCAAATATTTTCATCAGCACCCAAATAATGTTTCCCTAAAGCTCTGCTCTTCGTAACTTTCCCCTTCACACCTTGGCTTGGCGTGGTTGGTTATGGGCCCTGGTGCAAGGAATTCAATTAAATGGGGGCCCACTGTACAGCCCCCCCCTCTCCCCACCCCGCCACCCCTCTTCATAGTCTGGCGCCTGCCCCCCCTCCTATGACCCCGTGCCAGGCTCTGGTGCAGTTGCACCGCCTGCATACGCGACAGCAACACCACCGCCTTCGCCTAATGACATGGAATGGTAACTCGGCCCTCCCCGGCAACAAATCTTGAACCTTTTGGGTTCTTGCTTTCCGTACCAGTCTCGACATGTGATCGCATTTCATCATCACCGTCGTGAGCCACGATCCACTGCTGGATGAGAGCCTGTCCCGCGTCGTCTCCATCTCTCACGTCCCCTGCGATCGGAGCAATCTACTCGGCAAGCCGCAGCAGTGCGTCGCTTTCCGACTCGCGCTGTGCAAGTTCGTGTTTCGTGTTGTGTCGGTTACTCAACGCCGCTATCTTACTACAGTCGCACCTGCGATTAGCACAGTTGGCTACGTACGGTGCGAAAGAAGTTCAACGTACATGACAATCACGGCTCTCAGCTTTTCTTTTACATGAAAACTTGGAACAATTTTCGGGCTGACTTCTCACTTTAATTGAGCGTGCGTGTGTGGTTTCTTTCCTCTTGCAGTCTAAATCAAGATTCTGACAAAGCGAGAAACAAGTGTAATTATTAATTTAACGTCCAGATTGCGCGGGCGAATGCGCGCTACGCAACGGCGCCTCGTAAAGAAAAGGGTCGCCTTAAACGT